CTGGGGAGAAGAAGAAGAAAGGTTGAATAAGGGAGCGATCAGAGGTAAATCGTAGGAGGACTAGAAATAAAGGCTGAGTAATGGTTACAAAAGCTCGTACCTGCAAAGAATTGTATGTTGATGGCAAGATGCTATCCCGAAGTCAACCAGTATGTAGGTGCTCTTACGTAAAACACTCAACATAAGCTACTACCTGTTAGCTCGTAAACATAATATGTAGAAACCCAGTTTCAATATAATAAATGCTAGAAATTAAAAATCGAGAGAACTATGGGCTCTTCTGGTGGACTGTTACAGAAATGACTAGCAAAGTACACGATCATGACCAGGAACTGGCATTCTAGGCTTTCCCTTTCACCTTAGGTACTTCTTCCGAATATGCCTTCCATTTTGGCCTGAAAATGACATAGCATTACTGGTCTGATATACTATCATGATATGACCAGTATTTGTAAGTTCACTTGTAAGCGGAAAGAAAGAAACAGGGACGTCCCCCTCACTTATGACCAGGAGTTTTTGGGCGAAATTCCTGCGCTTTGAATGGATGTTTCATGAAAGTTCTCACGGCCCAAAACGCACCTTTGTTATGCCTTACTTTAGAGCCACTCTGTGCAGTTTAAGGGAATTAACACCTGCGTCCATGCTTCGAGAAGGATGCGGTGCCTCAGTATCATTTTGGGCACTATGAAATGCGCGAGTCTGAGCGAACCAAGGGAAGCATGGGAAGAGGTTTTGCTGTGTTACTGGTAAGTTTTCGAAGCTATGTCTCTGTACGTAGCACTGCAACGAGGGCCAGAGTCTATTCTGAGGAACACTGAAGGCTGAGGCCACGCTTCGGAATATTTGAAAAGTTCGATTCAGGGCGAAGATACTATCTAAAAAATTACGGATTTCGATCGGTAGTGCGGCAGCTTCATTCTCATTCGCAAGATTTAGCACTCTCAGAGCACTACCTATCAAGGTCCTCCATCTATTTTGCCCCCCCCCCCTTCTCCTTACCCTTGTTCCTCATCAAATTTCCTTCTTTGTTCTTTATCCAGGGCAGAGTGTGTAGTGACAAATAGCGTGCTTGTTACTCTGCGGTCATAGTTTCGATTTGAATATGGGGTCGACTCTCGCTTAAGCCAACGAAAAATTTCCCCTCCCGCCGGCACGGTAAATTGGTACCAGCTTCGCCTGGAAGCTGAATTGAATCGGCTGGACCCCGCAAGTCATTGTATAGGCCACATCGCATTCAATAAGCCACTACGATTCTGAATGGAAGTAGAATGCGTGCCGCATCCACAAAACGGTTGATGGACGGCGAACGACATGAAGGACATTATTATCCCTTATCCTTGTTATATTTCCATTTGTAGATAACTGAGGTAACGCCTTGTTCCAAGCAGATAAGAGAAGATGAGTCGTCCCACGAGTTTCCATACCCACCCTATGCCATGTCCAAATGCCGCACTTACTCCTTCTCACCGATAAGGAGGGTAAGGAATCGTTTTAAAGGAAGTCACTTACAAAAATAGTCGCTTCCGATGATCGGAATTCTTGGATTGCATGAAATACACATGCTCTTGTTTTGGAGCGAAAAATCCAATCCAAAAGCCATGCGTTGATTCCTTTTCAGTTAGCAGTACGGCACCACATAATTTCGAAACAGCATACATATTCATCACTTGCGTAAATGTTGAAATATGGACCTGAGAGTAAAACTCGAATGTGCAAAGTGTGTAGTGAGGTCTTCAAATATGTCGGATGCCTTATTCGATGAAGCTAGTAAACATGTTTTATACAGTTGTGATGTTGCTGGTGCTTGTCTTGAGGACGCCTAAGGCATGAGTTTCTGTGATCAAGGAGTGTAGATATGCAGCTGCAGGAGTGTGACACCTCAACGCTTGACAGGCGCGGCAAGTTGTAAACAGGGTACATCGTGATAAGTGAAAAAATGGCAGTGTCAGTAAACCCCCCCTCCCCGAAAAAGGATCCTGGTACGACCCATTTTCGGGCTCTAGTTGTTTGCTCTGACGAGAAGGATTAGATACGTAACGACTCGCAAGCGCTTGCGGCCGCGTTATGATTCCATGGCAAATTAGTGGTGGATTGGATCTGTTGGCCGGCTGGAGATTGCTGAGCTCTTTCTAAGGGTGATACCTTTTTTATACGTGGAGCTTTTGAGAAACGGAGGGGGAAGTTGAAGCAATGTATTTATTGATGCATTTTCTGCGTACTCGCAATATGGATCTTCCTCCGTCCGTGAAATATTACGGAAGTTTTATGCTTCACACGAGGATTACTTATTTCGAACGCAATTTCATCAATCATCTTGAAACCGCCCTATCTTTTCGTTTTCCATAAGCTCTACAGTTTTCCTGAAGACTTACTAGTTTAAGAGATATTTCAGATGGGTTACCCTCGACATTACGAGCCACTCAAAAGCTCGACTCTGCCATTGCAAGAAATTCATTCGCAAATTTCATATGCCTTCGAAGCACATTTTCCCGTTAAACATAATTTGGTCACGATCGATCGATATGGTCCGAGCATGCATCACGCTTCTACGCAGAGGTTGGTGGAAAGGTATAACTTCTGATTGTAGGCGAGATTTGTCCATGCAGGCTGAAGTTTGTTTAGGATTTGGAAGGTCGATACGCAGGAATCTGTCCGTTTGGGAGGTATAATTTAGTCATCTACGCAATTACGAGTTCATGCTAACTATTGATGTGCTAATCAATTGTTTAATATTTTGTAGTCTTCCCTTACATCCGAGTCCTCTGCAGCTTTCCGTCCGCATCTTTGAATTCAGCTTTTGTGCTGTTTGGTGCCCACCGACCCTGCGTTTACTACCCCCCCCCCCCCCCCCAGCAGCCAAGCACTGACCCCCCAACCCTACCCCCCCCCCACGGGTTTTGCAAACGATGCTGTACCCTGGTCAACTTTTTGGTAACCCACAGTCTATGAAGCTATCCATGTGTGTCCAAGGTGGATTATAGAGAGATTTGTGACTCTAAGAACTGGTGTGGTTGCCTGTATGACATAAAAATTTGAACCCTCACAATGATAGAAAGGAACTTGAACTTTTCTCGAGTTGAGAGAAATACCCACGTTTGGCTGCCATTCGACGTTTATCCTTAGTATGCCAGCCATTCCTTCGGCAAATTCTTGCCTATCAGCGAATATGTAAAAGGCTTTCAATTTCTGTAAGAGGTTCACTGAGCAACCGAGAATAAGCACATATGACTTTAGACTGACCATTTTAGTGGCAATATTACGTGCTGCTTTAACAATATCATGCATAGTGTGGTCCATTCCATGCGTCAATGGCATCCTTCTTCCGATGTGCACACAAACCGCGAAACGCTCATGAGGTCTGGAACTGACAATGGGAGTGACTAATTTTCACTGTCACACTGGAGGCTGTTATTTGAGGTTTGCGGTGGTTTTCCTCTAGTAACGGTACTTGCGATCTTGTTCGCGTATGTGGCGCTAGGACTACGCGGCGTCGCGTGCGACAATTGCAGATACCGTATAAGTACTCTCGAACACGCGATTGCGATGGTTTTTTTGCGACAGTGATATTTCCTTGCTATATTTCTGTGCATGTTTCTCTGCACTATAATTGCTATGTGACCCCTCTAATCATGCAAATAAAACAAAATCTAACGGTCATGACAATCGAGGCCCTACACCAGAATGAAGAACATGGCTGGAAACTCAAGCGAGCACAATATTTCGATAACGTGATGGCATAGCGATTTACTGCGAGGGTGCGCTTCACTGCAGGCAAACAGCTTTTACAGATTGCCGCGCGTGGTCATGAAATCCTTCCCTGGCCTGTTCGCCACGGATGACGGGGCGTGTCAGTGAGCTGGGTTTGATGCGCCGTCAGTCTTTTATCCACCAACTGTTGAAACGGGTAAGCGACAACAGCTGGGGAGAGGGCGTACATGAAACCCGTCATTTCTTTCGAATAATCTAGTTATTGGATCAGTGGGTGTACAAATGATCGCGTGACCTCTCGTGAAACCCAGGCTCAGATTTTTTTTATTTATTGCATGCACCATAGGCACATGAAGCAACATGGAACAACTGCAAATCCAACAAAAAGCTAACTGACAAATTTGACCTTGCAAAGTTCAGTACTCGATGTAATAATTAATAAAGAAAGATGATCGTCGGCGAAGAGCAAAGCACCGGTCCTCTTTCATTCGCGTGTAGGGGGAAGACCCAACGATGACAAATGCGTGGTGAATGACGCTCACTGCACTATCGTCCTGCTTGCGCCGAGTCCAGGTGTCTGTGCCCAGGTTAGTGGAGGAAGGACCGCGGAGGCAGGTGAGCACAGAGATCAGTATTCGTCTTCTTCGCTATTCTCTTGATGATCTTGAACGCCCAGGTCCCACTTCCTCCTGCTAGCTCTATTTCTAAGTCTTTCATCATATCGCACGCGCTCGTCGCCTGATTAGAAATCGGCTATATGACCATCCAACTCCTAATTGTGTTGTCTGTCCGACTGGCAGGGTGGGCGACTGCATCACCTCGGGGGTGGTCTACAAGATCACCTGTTGCAGTTGCGCCGATGAGTACATCGGTGAAGCATCGCGGCCGGATCAGAAGAGGGTGAAGGAGCACTAAAGCAAGAGTAGGTCTTGTTTGTCTACTGCCTTAGGGGCACACAAGGTTCAGATTGAAGGCGAGGGACGATTTTGGAGTAGAGGTCAGGGCCTTGGCGCAGAATCGCAGAACATCCGCACGGAAAACCCTCGAGGCATTTAGATTGAGGTCAGCAATCCAAAAATGAAGCGGAGGGGAGAAAGCGTCACAATAACGCGGGAGCTGAGACCTTATATAAGAATGGCCTTCCAAGAGTGACTCTGAATGAGGACAGTCCTAAGAGGTCCTACTGCCGGCTTGCTGGTCTCGAAGATCGGGCTGTGTTGCGGTGTGTGCCCCCTCTTATGATTAGGATGATGATCTGTAATGTTCTCGAACTTCAGTAGGTAGGTGAAATTGACTCATGGCAGGATAACGGCTTCGATACTTCTTCAGGCTCTGAGGCGATTTCGCCGAAACGTAAGCCAATAAAGGTGAATTGACAACCTCGTGTGGAGTTCAATCACGATCTCTTATAATCGTCATATTTATTTTACGACCCAGGTTCATACAGCCAAAGAATTCAGAGATGTTCGTTCCGTTGAGCGAGAATGGTTCATCGGGACGCAGCTCGTTTTTCGAAACATGGTCATCCTCAGATCCAGC